GCTGCTCGCCCTGGGGCTGGTCGGTAAGGGCCGCGACGGGGCCTAGGGCCGGCCCGGGCCCTCCCTTCCCTTCCCTTCCCCTCGTTGCGGGCAGAGCTCCCTCCGCTCCCCCGCGCGCCCCGGGCGGGCAGGGAGGGCCCCGGGTCGGTGCGCGGTGGATTCGGAAGGTGGTCGCCCGCAACCGCTGTGATGAACCGGTCCGATGCGCGCCCTTGCTGCCGGCTGGCATTCTCACAGTGAACGTCTTTCCACCGTAGAAAAAGACACCAATGGAGATGCTTTGTGGGTTTGGTGTTACCCGTCCGTAACAGCCGAGCTGAGGAGCCTCTTGCTGAGGAAATGCTGCCTTACCGATGAAAATAAGTTGCTTCATACCTTCGTGTTTGGGCAGTACAGAGGGTCGTGGTTCTACATCACAACCGTGGAGGTGCAAGAGCCTTCAGCCCTGAAAAAGGTAGGATTTTGTCTGCTATCATGCTGCTTTTTGTCTTTTTTTTCCTTTTATTTTTCTTCTTCTCCAAGTTTTTGCAATGCACAAATGAGGAAGTTAAGGAATATGCCTGTTCATAGGCCTGTTAGTCGTGGATTTGTCACATCCGTCCTGAATCTGGCACTGCAGTTTGCCCCCACAGCCGCTTTTCACAACAAATTCCAGAAATTTGATGCCCACCCAGGTGAGGGGGAAGCACTTGTATCTATYTTGAATTGATCTCATGACATTAAGGGAAAAGCAGCTCGCTATATAATAAATTAAGCAAATACAGTGTACACTAGGTCAGGTTCAGTGAAAGTGAGTCCTGCCAGACTCTGTTAGCTAGATCTTTTCTGCAGTTAATAAATTGGATCTGCTGTTACAGCCCACTTTGTTTTAGTAYTGAAACATGTGAATGCTGCAGTAAATTCAAAAAATAAACACCTCTGTTGTTACGAGATCTTACCAAACAAGCTGTGTTTTTTCTGTGTGTGTGTCTTGCTCAGGTGACCCACTTCTCTATTATTCTGACGGCCAAAGACTTCAATCCAGAGAAATATGCAGCCTTTACTAGGATACTGTGTAGGTCTGTATAAAACTGTCTTGGAATGTTCCTGTGTGTGTATTTGGATCTTGTCATGCCAAAAGACTAATGCAATTTCATTTAGTCTAACAATCTGCTGGGAACCCTGTCCTACAGCCTGTGAATGAAACTCTMTCCATTCTAGATTGATCACTGCTTTGATCCGGTGGCCTTGAGTTCATGCAGTAGGTGCTGGAAGAATGTCAGGTGCCCAACATGTTTTATCATACCAGGGGGTCTTCCCTCAGTCACACATGCACATTTTTTTTTTYCCACAGCACGTTATTTTAAAATTAAAGCATTTGGGAAGAGGTCAGTGCTCCGTATGCAGAGCAGGCAACTTACATCCCTCCACACCACTGCACTGAACTAGATACAACCCCCATGAACATTCTACTTTTCCTCTTTAAGACAGAGGGTCTTTTGCTTCTCAAGGTCTGTGGCTCTACTTCCTCCTTCCAAGCAGGGAAGCATCTTCCCCTCTGCTGCTCCTTACCCCCTTTAACATTATTTTTTTTCCTTTAAATCCAGGATGAATTTGTAAATTAAAGATAACAGTTGAGTTTCAAGTGAGACAAAGCTTTGTACCATTGCTAAAATGAAAAGTTGTTGAGTTCGTATTGGAAGATTTCTACTTTAGTACTTAAAGCTCAACCAGATGCTTAAAGTAAGGATCCTTYCTAAAGATATTATCTCAACCAGATGCTTAAAACAAGGATCCTCCTTAAAGATATTCTGTTGGTGATACCATGATCTTTTCATGTATTTGTTGATACTGGTTGCAGTCAAAATACCAGACTCTTTCTTTTTGTACAGAATCTACATGAAGCATGGGAGCCCAGTTAAAATGATGGAGAGTTACATTGCGGTCCTTACAAAGGGGGTCTGCCAAAGCGAAGAAAATGGATCTTTTCTCAGCAAAGATTTTGACGCGCGGAAGGCTTACCTTGCTGGCTCCATCAAAGGTGGCTAATACCAGAAATTCCTGATTTGTACAATCTATGAAACAAAATGTGTGTCCAATCATACAATACAATCCAGTGTTCATGTATTGTTCATGTAAATAGCATGAACAGTACTCTCAGTGTTACGATTACTAAGTTGCTTCAAAAACTAATCAAACCATTAAAATGTATGTCCTATATAAGATATTTTTCCCCCTCTTTCCTAGATATAGTATCTCAGTTTGGAATGGAAACAGTTATCCTTTATACAGCACTGATGTTAAAGAAACGAATTGTAGTATATCATCCTAGAGTAGAAGCAATCCAGGAGTTTACCAGGTACAGCATAACTCTTCCAGTCACTACTTCCCTGTCCCCTTGCAAATTTCCAACAGACCTTGAACCTTCATTTAGAGAAATATCCATATTTAGGGAGAAATATAGTTAATATTATGTCTTCATTGAAGTCTATTGAAAAACTCAAATTTAACAGTGCCTGAATGATAAACTGCTTACACTGATGGCAGAAATCTCTGTGATCTCAGTGAACACATGTGCTGAGTGAGACCCAGTCATATTTGTTCTTCCTTATGACACTCATTTCAGACTGTGAAACCTCTAATTAGTACACATAAAAATCTCCTATGTGTCAAATGCCAATCTCATTTCCTTAGGACTCTACCTGCTTTAGTGTGGCATCGACAAGACTGGTCAATTCTTCATTCATATGTACATCTAAATGAAGAGGAAATAGAAGCCTTAAAAGACTGCACAGGTAGTTCTATTTTTTTTCATAAAAATATAAATGAAAATTGACTTTTGTTTTTATTGAAGGAATGTCTTGCCTCAGCACTCTTTGYGGAAAAATATTTTGCCAGTAATGCCTTACTGTCTTACTGTTATACAGAACCAACTCACTTTAGATAAGCTATTTTTTTAATCTTTTACATGGTTAGTAATGTTATTTTTAGGATATTTGTTTTTCATTCCTAACTCTGAAGCTCAAAATCTTTGTTCTGACTGTTGTCAGTGAAGTCTCTGGCTCCCAATTACAGGCAGACTTCACCAGCTATAGGAGTTGTGATTTCCATACATCATTGCACATCYAATCCTTAACCAAGGGCCTCTTCCTGCATTTATGCAAAGTTCTGTGTGACACATAATGTGACAAATAAGAAATTATGCAGCATAAGGAGGAAGAAGGTCACCCAACTTAAGTATTCCTACTACATTACCAACAGTACTTGTTTCAGTTCATCAAGCATCTTCCACAGAGAAAAGCTGCCCTAAATGTGCTTGACTGGCAGGGGATAGATGAGAAAATTCAGTCATATTATTGCTCTTCAGTCACTCTAATACTGACTTGGACAGTAGCACAAGGCTTCCAAATAGCACTTACTTTAAAAAGCAGTTCATTAGATTATCTATTTGAAAATGCATAGTTTGTGGCACGAATGTTTAAAATTTCAAAGGGAGAGACTTCTGTATTGTACGTAGTATTCGGGATTCGTTGATGTCCAAAGCAACTTGAGAAGCTGTCTTTTAAGTTCCTTGGAGATAAAGAACTGATAAATAAAGAGTTTCTCATCAAATGGCCGGTGCTATCAAGAGAGCAACCCCTTGTGTTTGGTCAAATACTCTTAAAAACAGGCTTCAGGACTGTAGCTTTCTCTATTGGGGTTTTTTTTTTGCATTTTTTGACTATGAGTTTTCGTTGTTGCCTGATAATCTTGACAGAACTCTACCCTGCAGGTTACATTGCTGGATTTACAGATTCTGAAGTGAGCAGTAGATCAGACCTCTACGATGTGTATGTGAATTTGGCAGACAGTGAGATCAGTATTTCCCCTGCAGTGAAAGGTTGGTTGTCAATGTTTAGAATTTGGGGCTGTTTATTCAATTTAGGACTAAGTTCAGTACTTACTGTAACTCTAGAATAACTCTAGAATAATGTTGTACTTGGCAAGGTTGAAAGTGCAAGGTGTAAGCTTCTGTGTTTCTTTTTTATTGAGACCTATAAAGACTGGTGAAACTTTGGAATTTGGATAGACATAGGCAAAAAGAGTCATTATACAGCATTTAAAAAGCTTCATTTGTGTTAAATTTCTTTCTTTGTTAATGAAGAACACATTTTGGCGTAGCTTCTTGATTCTGGCTATAAACGAGCTATGCATTGCAAGTTGTTAAATCTTTTTCTATAATTTCAAACACTGGCTTTAACCTAACAAGAACAATAAAGACTGAGAATATATAACCTCTGTAGCAGTCAGAAAGACAAGCAGTCTCAGTCCTTTTAAGGGAGTATTTTCAAAGAACTTGATTGAGGCAAGTATTTGAGTTAGGGTTATTTTCTCATAAAAATGATTCCGCTGTCCTTGGAAGAAAGATGCTGCAAGTTTTATGTATTAGGTTCTCTGCCTTTGAAATAAAGATGGATTGATATAATTTTATTTTTTTTCTACTCAGAGGCAATGACAATGGGAAAACTTCACAAAGAGATAGGACAACTAATTGTTCAGTCTGCTGAAGATCCAGATAAATCAGACAGCCAAGTCATTAAGGTCAGTATTTTTATCTACTTAAATTACTTTTATCAGTAAAACTTAAAGGGGAGAAGAAGCCTAAGGAATATTGTCTCTAAGATCAGCTGATTTTTCCTAATCTCTGCCCTATTACAAATGAGCGTTTTTATTCCTCAGATAAATCAACTGAAGAGCTATTGCAAAATTTCCATAAAATAAATGGACTCCTTAACTTGAACCTGTTATTTACCATTAATTATCTTTTTGTTCTTAAATGTTAAAAACAAGCAGATGTTAAAACATTGTAATACTTCATGCTGTACTCATGCTTGCTTGTTTTTCTGTTCTTCAAGGATATTTCACTGAAGACAAAAGAAATCTTGACTACTTTAGCATCACTCACAGAAGTTTCTGATGGCAATGATAAACCAACCCTTAACTCTGAGGCCCTGAAACAGAAACGATTTCCACCAGCTACAGAAAACTTCCTTTTTCATTTAGCAGCTGCTGAACAAATGCTGAAAATCTGATTTTGAAGCACTTCAGTGTTATGGACCAATATGAAAATACTGTCTTTGCCATATAAATCAGAATATCCAAACTTTATATGGAAAAATTAAAGGTATGAGAGTGAATGTCATATTTACCATGATACAACGCAGAATATCAGAGCTTGATCTGGGATATTTGGGAACGTTCCTGTTGTCCTTGCCTTTTTCTGACTACAACTTTGTACACACACGGCTCCCATATTTCAAGGTGTGCACCCATGCAGTGTGACTCCGTGTGCCTAGGCTGTGCCAGACATTACAGTGGCCATTAACCCTGCAGGTTTCGGATGTTGGGTAGTTCTGTCATTGCTCTGATTTGTCTTCCCAGTGTCTGGAATGCAGGGTGCTGCATTAGTGCTGGGATAGCTCTGCAGCTTGGATGTGCACATTGCTGGGCAGGGATCTACCAAACGTGGAGCTGGTGTAAGATGCAGCTTGTGCTTGGAACTGCCTCAGATCTGCAGAACCCAAACAAATGGACCAGTTCTCTTTCTGTCTGAAAGTACTTAATTGTAAAAATATATATATTTATGTTTGGGAAGATGTTTCATGGCAGCCTTATGATGTAAAGGAAGAATTTTAATGCTCAAGCAGGAGTTGAGCACCTCTTTTGCACTCTTGCCTTAGAAATTCCCCATTTTTTCACTCCATCCCCTGTCTCTGGTAAAAGGAGATGACAGGAATCCTGGGCTTTCCAGGGRGGTTGTGGACAATGGCTGCTTTACAGCTGGAGCCACAGAAGGAGCTGTTAGGGTTCTCGGTTGAGAAGCCTAGATAAGTAATAAACTGGGAMATAGTTTAGATAAAACTAGAATATGCCTATTTGTTTGACTGGATAGCCATAACTCAACACATTTTTTCCATTAGACAACCGAAAACTAACTGCTTTGTAATCTGGGAAGACCTAATTTTTTTGTAGGGAAATACTGAGCCAAACAACCTGTATTTCTTCAGAAATATCCTCAAAAGTCAGTCAATTCTGCAGCAGCACTTTGTTATATGAAAAAAATAACCTTTTTCCTGGCCTTTGTACAGATAGGCTGTAGCATGTGGTTTTACATAGAGATTTTATACTTACGATTAAAACTTTAGTAATCAMTATTTATATTGTTAAATAACTGGATGTTTGCTATTCTGAAGTTGTTAGAGTTCATCACTCTAACAACTTGTACAAGCAATATTAGGTTGAAAAAGAGTCATCCTTTTGCTCTGTATCATACATTACATGTGGATGAGGTATATGGCAACTTTATATGCAATGGCCAGTTACTACAGTGAGTAAATGAAAGCGCTTCAAAATACCCTCTATTTTCAGGGGTGTATAATTCTGCTTTAAACATCTACTGAACAGAAGTGTGTACTTTTGGGGTTTTACTTTTTGTTTTCTAAGAAAAATACTGCAATTGCCTTCATTTGTCTGTAAGTGACCTGCTTTGCCCTGGTGGCGTATTACTCCTTTTCTCCTTGAAGGTTCTCTTGCATTGCTGTCTTTTGTTTCAGGACTTTTGTAACAATCAGGAAGAAAATACCACACGATTATGAGGTAAGGTCAGTCCAGGGTCTATTCTGAAGTCTACTGAAACACAACTCAGTCATTAAAAAGAACATGCTTTGAATCAGATGTGTTAATGCCACGTGGTTTCTGTGAAGAAACTCGTAGTTTCTTTTGAACAAAAAGCCGTAGGTATCTAATCAGGGAGCAGGGCTGTTAAAGACAGCCACAAAAAGCGGAGAAGCTCAGTTATAAACTACACGTCCAATATTTATTTTGCTTTCTGTTTTGGGATCTTCTAAGTTGCAAATCATCTTGGTATTGTGTTACATCTTGTATTCTAACATTCATGTGACAACAAATGAACTACAATTTTGCACTTAAGGAACTGCACTCATAGCATGCTTAAGCCTATTAAAGAAAAGCCTGAGCAGCCAACCCTTTAATTCATGTATTTTTTTTTCTCTGAGTAGTTGTGGCCGCTGAGTCACAAGACTAGACCTTGTGTTGGGCAATATTGGGGTCTGAACGSGAGCTACAGCCCCCCAGGTTCAAACAGGCTTTGTCCTCCATGCTCATAGTGAAAGAAATATCAGAAAGAAATGGCATTTTGCTATTTAAACCAGGCCAGTGCCTTCAGGCAAGCTGGACACTGCTGCTTGTGCCGCCACGCTCGGCCTTGAGGCCCACAGGCCCCGAGGAGGGCKGCGGCGGGGAGACGAGCGCGAGGCGGCCCCGCCGCGGTCCCGCMGGCCTCCGCGCTGCCTCGTGGCCCCGGCGGCCGCAAGGGCTGCAGGATAAACACTCGGCCGCCCRTGCTGAGAACTGAGCTGATGTCCTCCCTTCATCCTCCCTTGTGGGCTGCAGGGAGAGCGGCTGGGCTCAGGGCTCCTCGGACAGTGTTCTGGGAGGAAGGGCTTTGATCTTGGGATTTCCTAACAGGGGAGCTACTCATTTCTTATTAAGATCCATTAAAAGAAACTCATTTCTTATTAAGCCCCTAAACTTAAACATTTWGAGCTGGGGAGGTGGGAAAATGTTAGTGGATTGCCTTGTACACAGCCTTAGGTTTTTCTGGAAGCTGAAGGCCTCAAAACTACTGTAAATTGCCTTAAAACTACTGTAAATCTCCTTAAAGTAGTTTTACGACTCATTCAYTATCACTCAATTGACCGGCTAGTGCTACAGGCAGAATACAGAGCTGTCTTGGTGCAACCTCATTCATCATGAACCATTCACTGTGGAGAGTTTCTTTGGAGGTGCCTATTTTCCTTGCGAGTCCCTGAAGCTTTTCTACCTGTCCCGTCTCAGTCCCCTCACTTAGGACCCCTTCTCGCCCTCCTGCGTGATAGAGGTAGATCTTCCTTGTAGTGCCAATTATATTTATCGCGAGCGGACCCTGTCTGACTGTGCCTTTGGAACGTTACCAGAACAGCATTAGGAGAGAGACTGAGTTTTAGAGGTTTTAGCTGCAGGGCACTAGCTGCACCAGCGCTCTTAAAGATTTTGAAGGAAACAACTCCTGCCTTGTTTGAGACACACACAGTGATTTTAAGTGTCTTGGTGGGCTCCAGGTGGGGTTCCACCTGTGCCCTGTGTCCCACAGTGGCCAGAAGATGGAAACTAAAGGAGAAGAAGAGGGCGAAGCACCTTCTTCCTAGTGTCTTCCTGCTCAGGACCACGGATCCCGATGTCCGCTCTGTGCATCCACTTCTGCCCCTGTCAGGGACAGGGTGTTTGTYGAGGCAGACCTTTGGACTGCCCCTTAACAGCTGCCTTTAGGCAAATATGGCTGTTTCCTTAGGCCCAGTCTCACCCTTGTGGGTCCGGACTAAGTGATCCCTGCTGAGTCATCAGGCGTCATCAGTGAATCCTGGACACTGCAGTGAGCTTTAATGGCCTCCCTGTTAGCAAATTTTCAGCATGTTTCACACAGGGCAGCTACTTCTGGTTCAGATGGGGCTTGTTCTCTCCCCACTCCTACCTGAAGCATTTGAGTCTGGAGAATTAAGTAATACAGGTTTAACAATTAGCAACTATCTGCCATTAGAGCAGTGCAAACCCTCTTCAACCAAGGTCTAACAGGCTAGATATCCATACTGTCTCCCTGGAACAGCTCTAGCTCAAGCTGCCCTRCAGAACAGCTCTGGGTGATGGACTCTGCTCCCTGCCCTGCCTCCCTGCTGCACAGGGGAAGCCTGGCAAGACACAGAACTCACTCAAGTTGCTGAAAATCCAACTTCCTGCTTTTGTGTGGGGCCAAAACCAGCAGTAACTGCTTTCCTGCACGTGACTGGGCCTGTTTTGCCTTACTTTGCGCTGCTGTCTTCCTGTAGGCATGAGGAGGAATGGGAAATTGGTTTCYTCACAGCACAGACAGAAATCTAAATCCTCCTGCAATAGGATAGTAGCGAGCTGTTCATTGCACTCTTTAAGAAAGAGAAATAAAAACTGACTTTAGAAGTTGTACCTGTAAAACTGTTTCTGAGAAAATGGTTGTTGTTTCCATATCTATATACAGATATACCTGTACCTCTGTCMCACAGAGCCTTAGGAGTATTACACATAACATCTTTAGTGATCTTASAGCAATTTCTCCTATGATCTTCCTACAGTTATCACAGAAGGATGTCCTACCTCAGATGTGAAGCTTCCTTCTATCTTGTTCCCAGAACAACTATCTTTAACATTACATCGTTAAAAGGGTTGTTTTGTCTAATACCACTGCATATTAAAAGCGAGTTTTCTGTGAAAAACCATAATAAAACTTGGTATTCAATTTTCACAGTCTTTTAATTAAGAAATCAATCACATCAGGAAGTGTAATGAACACAGTTTCTGGTACACACCCTGTTACTAAAATGTTTTCTGGTAYAAATATCACTTAGAACAATAAGGTTATGTRTTTACCTCAATGCTTGCCTTAATATCAGCCCGTTGGCTTGGACTTGCAAATAGCAAGTCTTCTTCTTGACCACATCATTGTGCATCAAACCCAATATACGTTCTCCAACCAGAGTCATGATTTGCTCAGTCAGTATTCCATTGAGTTTGTTGAGACAATCAGAGCTCACTTTAGCCAAAACACATATATATAAATTAAAAGCAATCCCTAAATTCCTCTGTTATAGAAAAATACTGTTTCTTCTGTGGATGACAGAATTTCTGGTTCCAGATCTTCTCGTTTTATCTGAAATTTTTAGAAAACAGGAATCAACAACACCATATCCTGGGAACTAGGTAAGCACATATTAAACCTTCTATACATCACACTTCATACTAATTGAAATACTAGGTCTTTTTTCTATTGCAATAGCTCAAAATTACTCAAATAWAAATGACACCCAGTGTAAATTAGGTGTAACAAGTGCTGTAGGTCTCTACATCATTCAGAGGCCTCTCCACAAGCCTCTTTTGGGCACACTAACCATTCTAGTCCTACTGATTTTGCTACATGGGTTTAGACTGCTGTTCCTAGTCACAGATTGACTATCTATATAGTAATAATCCTAAATCAGTTGTGGAAAAAGGACTTACCTCCCCACACTGTGGGAATATACTAAGTGAAACTGGCAGCATCCCCGCCAGTACTCCTGTAATCATCATCAYTCTCATTGAGGCCAAAGCACGTTGAGTTTTTGCAAATTTTGCTCTGTCAAAGATATAGAAAAGTATGTCAGTTTTGGCGTGGAAAATAATCYAAAAACAAAATAAAGAATATTTGCCACTATTTTACTGGTTGAAATTGCATTAAAGTTAACAATCCTAAAGGTGATGCCTTATTTTACTTCTGAATTCTTTATTCTCAATTTCCTATTCTTTCCCTGTGCCTTGGATTTCTTTAACTGCAGCACTTGCTGAGACCACAATGACAATACAAGATCAAGAATGTAACAGCAATATCAAAATAATAAAAGAAGATTCACTATTGCTTAAAAGTGTTTCAGTCCTTTAACTTAAATTTTTCTTKTACCACCTTCTTTTTTACTTTAATGTTTAGTTCCTCTTGGAGTCCTACTTAGCATCATTCATAAATTTATTACTTTCTATACTTTTTAAACTCGTCTTGCATCTGCATTTATATTTTCTGGTAACAGGATTCTCTAAAGCTAATTAAATGAGATATGTGATCCCCATCAAAAGCTGAAAGAAGACTAAATACACTCTGATAAAATATACAGTGAATTCTTCTTAGGATTTTTTTTTAATGTTGCAAAAGCATTAAAAAGTTTTGCAATGTATGACAGACTATTTGCAAGATGAGGCCTAGTGCTAACACAAATTCACTTAGATAAATAAGTGAATTAAACTGAATAAAAATGTCTCAATATTTTCTACCAAAGCAAGTATTGATGCAAAAGTATGAAAAAAGAAAAAAAAAAAAAAAGGCAAATGGTAATGGCCAGATTAAATACCAGAATACCCACTAACCAGGCTCCCCAGCCCTACTGTAGTGCCTCTTACCTTTCCACAAAGTACATGAACACAGCTGGCAGGAAGAAGGCTGTCCCAAACAAGGCTGCTCTTGACAAAGCTGTTTCTCTTACAGCCTCCAGAGAGGGAGAARAATAAATGTTGTTCAGAACAGTGCTCACTGCTGCTCCAAATACCGCATGTTTGCAGGAGAACTTTTCTGTCTAATACTCCAAGGTTTCCAGCAATGGGTAAGTGAAGGATGACAATATTTGTTTGAAGGTTTCTTTTATAAATGGAAACTGAACTCCTTCATTTGGCAGATATTCCAGTTGTGATTAGGAAATGCCTTAAAAGGGAGTTGATACTAAAGAGGCCCCACAGAGGCTTCCTACCATGACAATAATTTTGCTGAGATCTACCCAAAGGCTCAGCACCTGATTTGGGATTAACACTTAGTGGTTCCTCATTTCAGGATCCAGCTCTATCTACTCTCAGCAGTTTGCCAGGCAGGTCAAGAAGGGTCCCCCATCCTTGCCTACCTTCTCACCAGCTTTCTTCGATACTCCTACAACTTGGCCATTCCTGTCCATCACTTCAATCCCATTCTCAAATTCGGGGCTTCTCACCACCGCCACAGTGAATGCACTCATCAAGCCTGCMAAATTAAAGAGGATTTGGCTTTAAGAGGTAAACTTGGTAACGAGACCATCTCACTTACGGCCTTCATAATTATGTCTATTTAAACATCCAGTTCAACAGTTCACAACTGAGGATCCAGGCAGCTGAAGAAGAGACTGACCATAAAAATCTACCCAGAATCTCAATACTTCTTTCAGAGCTTGAAATAGATTTTAAGATGCCAAACCCAGAAGCTGTTTTATTAGTATGAGCACTCAGAGCTTTCTTCATTACCATCCATTTCAAACCAAGGGTAGATTGTTTTTAAGAAAAAGCATTAAGAAAAAGGTTATATTCTGCATAGATTTTATACAAGACAGTGCAAAGTACAGAAGAAAAGGAAGTGAGCAAGACTTGAGACAGAGGCTGCATCCTTGATTTGGAAGGGCGGGTGCCAGGGGAACACTGACTGTAACACGTCCCATGACTATGTTYCTCTGCCCAGCCCCATGGCCCGGTCACTGGGGGCAGAGCTTCAGGTGGATCTCTCTGGATCTCTCAGGTGGATTACATGCTCTAGGTGTGCCTGCTTGAGCAGGAAGGTTGGACTAGATGATCTGTAGAGGTCCCTTCCAACCTTAAATATTCTGTGAATCTGTGAATCTCTGAGATCTGCTGTAGGATGAGAACATTTCTGCCTCCTTCAGGCCCAGCATGACAAGGCACCTGCAAAACAGCCCTCCCACAGCCACTAAAGTCACAAGCTTGGATTAGCCACCCATTTAAAGGCCATATTGAATGGGAGTTGTTAATTCAGCTGGTTTTATCCTTTCTTTTTTTTTTTCTGGACTCAGATCCAGACATAACAGGACATTGCCCGTTGAGCCAATCTCTCTGAAAAAGACAGATTTCTTTTTGCTTCTTTTGGGCAGGTCTGCTCAATAAAGATATCAGCATAACAATATATGACACTTTTCAAATGCTAGACTAATATTAATCAGCTACCTTCTAGTTTCTCTCCAGACTTAAGAGAATGGAAACACATTCTAACATCTGTTTTAAGAGAAACGAGTCAGTGAGTCTTCATACAGACCCTCAGAAAGGTTTAGGTGGCCATCTTGCATACCTTGGAATAGGTAAGAGGAAACTTTACCAGTTTCTCCTCCGAAAAGACCAAGATTTCCTCTTAATGGCAATAGGGAAGTAGTTATCAACATCAGCATTAATTTACTGGAGTAAGGTCAGTGAATGGTCAAAAAAGTGATTAAAGACATATGAGCATTTCTCATACAAGAAGAGGCCGAGAGCTGGGACTGGCTAACTAGTCTCCATCCCTGGAGATATTCAAAACCTGCCTCACACTGCATTGGGCAACCTGCTCTGAGTTCACCCAGCCAAAGAAAAACAACTGCATCTCTGGATTTCTTGATGAGAAACAGTTGTACATCATGTATACAAGCTCTGCAGCTTTAAAATTAAAAGCTAGCAAGCCCTAAATCACACTGATCAGCATTAATGCTCAAGCAGAAAGGACAGTACCAGCAGTTAGCAAAGAAGACCAGTGAAAAATGAAGACTATGGGTGCAAGGGCAAGAGAATTCAACAGTTAYGTGGGACAGCAAACGACCCTCAGACCAGCTGCTTCTTTCTACTCACCCAGAAGAGGAGCATGTAGAAGTTTTCTGACAATCAGCTGTGTTAGGGGACTCTTCAGCGTGTACCGATTCATGAAGAAGATAGGAACAGCCTAAGGCATTGGGAGGAAACAGGCACCTTCTATTAAAAAGATATAAAATATTCCAATATCTGCAAGAGTTTAGGAAAAGGAGTCWGCAACTTAGTACTTAAGATTTCATCTACGAAAGTAAGCAAATGCCTTGGTTTAACAATTCAAAGAAATATATATGTTCTCTAGTTACTGAGAAAGGTTTTGTAATCACTGTTTTTGTGAGAATAAGAATATGTTAAAAAAAAACAAGTATTATAGACTATTATGCAGTGGACAGCASTAGTACGTATGCTAAGACAGAACAATTGCCTCTTGCTAATTCCCTTTGGCTGCCCATCCGACTGCTTGTACAGTGAATGTGCTGCTTTCTTCCCTAAATCAGACACCTAGTTCACTTGGCAATTCACACCTCTACTACCCAGTACTTCCAGTCCTATTCTATATTCCCATAGCACACTCCAGGGAAGTTTTATTTAGGAAYAGAAGGCCAGAACATCAGGCACAGCTCAGTTTCCCTTCGAGGACAAGGGGGAAGGACATTCACCTGAGGGCACAGCTGCCCCCCACACCACTGTTAATCTSGAGTGCTATGGGCCTCATTGCTTTGCCCAGTGGAAAGAGGGGAAAGCACAGCTAACAAATGCAGGAATGTCCACATTTTTGTGAGCATAGTTTGGTGTGGGGAATAAAGAAATGCACTGCAGAGACATCAGCAGCCACCATGCAATATCACGAGGATACCAGAGCTTACTCTGATATGGCAAACTCTGGAAACCACACAGCTATTTCTCTATAAAAGCTAATTAATCTGCACCCAGTGTAATATTTGTGCTGGTTCTGGGATTTAAGCTATCTCCACCAGGACAGCAGCACACAGGCCTCATCTCTTCTGAGTTAATCAGATCTCTTCCAAARATCAACGTGCAACTACAGTGAGTTATTCTGTGTTTGCAAATATTGATCATTTCCCCTCATCACTCATTTTCTAAGCTTGCAAACTAATAAAGAAAAAGACCCAAGAGAAAGAGGATTTAGCTGCTGCCTGGCCAAGAAAACTCTCCTATACTCAACAGCTCTGAGGAAGGTATCAGAGCGGGACACGAAGAGCACAACCCTGAGGGATATTTGGCAGTGTGATTGTCTCAGGGCTGTCTCCTTGTCACCATGCCAAGAGAACAAGCCCTGAGCAAATACATACGCCGACACACGCCGCGTAGGAGACCGCTCCCAAGCCAAAGATGACCTGTTTTTGTTGAACAGAGTACTCCTAAAAACGACAGAGGACACATGTGGTGTAAGTACACGTGTAAAACACATTCAAAATGTAACTGTTCATTACGGTTATACTCAAAATTCAAAACCAATACATACTTCAGACTTCGTGGTACCGTTTCCGTTGACTAGGGTGAATCCAGTAGTGTAAGTGTGAAACACAAACTGCAGAGAGGAGAGGCTATCAGCAAAAATGAATTTGCAACTGAGACTAAGATGTACAAATGCAAAATGAAAGAGAAAACTACCTGGCAAAGAAACGCACTCTTCGCTTGGAGCGGAAGTGATGAAGCAACAACCTAAGAGGAAACCCCATGGGAAAAATTATTTTTGATGAATCTAGGAGTTCCTGGTCAGCAGTGGTTACCTGGAATTACTGTGTTACCATTTGCAGCCCCGTCGAAGGCTACAGGCCCCACTAGAGGCTGTTGGCTTTGGTTCTGGCTAACACAGTAGAACTTACTTGTCACAGATGTGACATACTCACTTTCTCTACCCAACATATCATAACAAAAAGACACAGTTATTAGCACATTGTATACAATAACAGATGGGCAACATGCTCTTTTACTCAAACTTAAGAAAAATGCATTAAGTAGATGTCTTGTCACAGAATAACTTGGTAGAAATAATAATGAGTAAGGGTCACAGTTTTGAGTGGGAGGCACAGATACTAGATCTAATTAATCCAAGATATGAGACTCTAGCAATTACTTCCAAACTCCTGGCCTAGCTGAGGCAGTGAATAACAAGTCCAGCTATAAACCATGGTCCTTCTGCAAGATACCTTCACCTCAAGGTTTGCAGCACTTTTRGAGAACAAAGTCAACCAAGGTACAGCAACCACAGAGCAAGGGAAGGGCAGGGAATGTGCAAAGCCAAGAGAACGMTCAGTAACTCATTTATCACTGGAGGATCACACTACTCCCATTATTAATGCCAGAGATTAATTTAACTATATCTATGAAATACATCTTTTAATTTATTACTGCTCTTAATGTAACAGCCATCAAGATTTTCATTATACTTTCTGGTAGTGCCGCAGATTCACGTAGTCACCTACATGCATGAAATTAAGTATCTCCGTATGACTACTCAGGTCAAATTCTGTGTGCTTGACATCTAAATGGATAAATATGCACATAAGTACAGTTACAAATTTTAATCAAACAAGATTATGCAATATAGATTGATATTTATAAAAACTATAACAAGAATTTATTTTCATATCTTTTGTCATTTCTTAATGAAACCATTTTTAGGGGCAAATATACAAACTATGCAAGAGAAAATGCATTGCATACATGTTTTGGCGCTGAACAACAGTGCAGTAGGCTCAGGCTCTTGCCAAATACAGTCTCATTTTTTCCTGAGTCTAAATCCAAAACAAGCCTTACTCCTTAAATTCAGGATTTTACATATAAAAACTGACCTTCATGCAAGAACTGTCTGCTCAAACACTGCTGAACATAGCTAACAGTTTGGATTTCTAATTTGATTCCTTAAGGTCTCAGTTCCTAAAAAGTTACCCAGTCTTTCCCAAAACTCACAGTTCTTCTAAAAAAACTTCTGCTGAAAATACCATTGAGAAACCTAAATCCTCCAAATCCTTCCTTCCAAATAATAGCTTTGAAAAAAAACCATAGGCATTTGATGCACTCACATCTTTCATCATTACTCACCAATGGAAGAGATACAGGCATGAAGGCTACAAAGAAGAACAAATTTATTTCAGAAGCATTACCTGCTGCGAGTCTAGATTCATGGGTTTGAGAAGATTCCCTCAATTTCACCCTTATGCACAGCCCCGTATGCAGGAAGAGTCATTCTGACCTTCCTTTCTCAGTCTTCAATCGAGAAATGAGAACATCTGTCTCAGCTTATGGCCAAAAGCAGCTCTCATGAGCTCCGCTCTACAGGGCTACTTGGAAACCTGAGCCCTGAAGGGAACTGCTTTTTTTCCCTCCATTCGAAAGCAAAGATGCAGCAACAAGGGCTGCCCTGTCTGCAACATAAAATAACCAAGAACAGCCCAAGTATGTTCTTGTCTGATCAACTCTCTGTGGTATCTTGTCTATATATCACCTTAAGCACAGTCTACCACATTCGTATAGTAGYTGTGTGCACCAAGGGACAACCTGGAATATCACAGACTGTTTTAAAATACACTGTGAGTGTATTTGGGTACTCATTATGTGGTGCCAAAAAATACAGACTGGACGGGCCATTTATGCCTTGTGGAGCAGGAGAACTGCAGGCGGCTGAACTGCTCTTCCAGCTCCACTGTGGAAATAGGTCTTCAATAAGGAAGGTAGATGGAAGGAACAGAAGTGAAAGTGCACACTGTTTTCCTGCATGGGAAGGGTATCTATCACAGCGGTTATATTCTATGAGCCATTCCCCTTTGATGTTTTAGTCACACACAATAAAAATTCTCTTAAAGGAACTGACCTGGAGGTCTAAACAAAACTGGAATTATTTGGTCTGTATCTGGATGCACACTAGACTTGAGAAAAAGAAAAGGAAAAAGGAAGAAAGCAGAGATTAGACCAGCATCTTTGCCATGCTTAAATAATAAAGAAAAATAGTAGATTTGTAAATCGTATGTAAACTTACCAGGCTGAGCAGGAAGGCCTGTTTCATCTAAATAATTTGAAAATTAGATTAGTAATCAAGTTGCAGAAGATGCTGAAAAAAATTGTTTCTGAAATTATTATAGATACCATTTTTCCAACAACTCACATTTATATGGAGTATACTATATATATTATATGTATAAATATATATTATTATCATCCTTATATTATTTTCTCTGTGAAATTTTTCCCCACATACTCATGGCTGAATATAATTTATTCATATTCCATGTGCTAACAGCACCAAAGTACACACTATGGCAGAACAGAAAGCATTTTTAAAAAGTTAAGCTAGTAGTACATAGAAATAATAAATAGAAATAAGCTAGCAGTATATATAAATAGAAAACAACCAACTCTTAAATATGGTCAAAAGCCTAAAAATCTTTAACAGCCCGAGTACTAAATGTCATGTGCTATAGATGAGTCCTGATGAAAYCAAAAGGAATCCTCTAATGAAACAAGGATTTAGCACAATCTTCTGGCAATTCTCTGAGTAGGTTTCCCATCCAAGTGCTGCTGCTACCCAATTTATGAGGTGTGGGACCCGATCAGCCTGCACTCTACAGAAYGACACAACATAAAGTTTCAAATGAGCTCAGTATGGATTTTGTACATTATTGATTATTTATCACTTACATTACCTAAASTGGTATCAGGCAGGCTCAGAGCAACAATTACTAGAGTGATTTGAGGGTTCCTTTTAAACCCAAATGACGAGACATGCCAATGAGTATTTTTCAGCATGATAAAATTGAAACTTGGCATTGAAGTTACCAGCCATCCAAGGAAATTCTTCTCAGGTTCACAGATTAGGAATCTCTGTGGTAAAGAGCTTTTCCAGTGTTATGCCTTGTACCTATATCTCAGTATTCTTCCTACTGGATCTTTCCAATATCACCTATTTCAGCCATGAAAGAGATTCCAGTATTTTCTATGAACTGCACTCCAAAATACCTGATCGTTGTAAATGGGCTCACTAAGGGTCTGTCCAGTGCTTTGTATGGATAATCTGCTGTTTTTTATTTCTTTCTACATGTAGGAAAAAGAAGGAAAGAAAAAAAAAAAAAGTCAGATTTAAAAGACTGTCAGATTTTAAAGCAGACTTAAAAAAAGGTGCACATACTCAAAGATAACAGAGCTGTAACCCAACACGGCTTTCACTGTGGATACTCTACGTAAAAGGCAGCTTCCCTCAGGAGAACTTGCGAGATTACTTGACTTTTCTTTGGGGAAAGGTTTTCTTTCGCAACAGTCTAACTTAACTCAAGGAGAAATGAATTAGGGATAGATGTCCAAGGCTGTGAATGCATTATAAAAGTTTCTTGAGAGTGTTTACTCACACGAACACCTTTATTATTTATACATACCCRAGCATRTACATATATATATACACATATACCATATACCATATATACATATACCATATACCTATATGTAGACAGACAACATACTGTGTGACACAGAAATTCCCATTTGCACACACTTTGACTGTATTATTTTGTTTTAACTTCACTCTCTCCCTTATAAAGAGAACCAAAAATGCTTTTAGCAAACCAATCACCAACTCTTATTCCGCATATTTTTTTCCTGTTTTCCCCAATTAAACTCCATAGAAATATAACTACACAAAAACATACATCTTCCACGGGAGTTTGCTTTCACTCGTCAATCCCTGAGGTTGAGAAACTTTAACTTTACGGCAAAAGTGTTCTCAGTAAGTTGCACTGTTAACAGCAATTGCTGTAAATGGTGTAACTGCTATTTTTGGTATATTTGGGGTAATTTTTGGTGCTGCGTGTTCCCCGCCGGGGGAGTCCCCGTGCAGTCCCGCGCAGTCCCGTGGCCGAGGTCCCGCGTGGGTCCCCACATCGGCCCTGCCCGAGGCTGCAGCTCCGCACCGCGTGGGCAGGTGCCCGCGCCCGSAGCTAACGCGCACACGGGTGGGTCCAAGGGCCCGCAGCGCCGCCCGCGAGCACACGAGGGGACCCGGGCCCCGCCGCCAGCTCTGCACTCACCGAGGGCTGCAGCAGCAGCAGCGGGTCCAGCACATCGGCCCAGAGCCGGAACCTCTGCAAGAAAGACTGCGCACAGCGTGACGAGAACCGAACCGAACCGAACCGAACCGGGCCGGGCCGGCCTCGCGCGCCGCCCTTACCCGTCCCTGCGCCCGCCACAGCCGCAGGTTGGGGTCCATGGCGGCCGCCCGAGCGCGGCGGGCAGGAAGGGCCGCGAGCGGCGCGGGGCGGGCGGGCGGCCGCGGCGCCGCCGCCTCTTCCGGCAGCGYGGGGAGACGAGGGCAGCGCTGCGGCTGCCTCCTTCCCTGCGCCCGCGTGGATCCGGTGCTCAAGGGCACGGAGGTGCTGCGAGCGCCCAGAGGAGGCCCGCGGGGCTGCAGCTCGCGGGGAGCGGCCGGGGAGGCGGCTCTGTCCGGAGGAGGCTCCCGCCGAGCTCACGGCGCTGCTGCTGCCCCAGAGGAGGCTGCAGGGAGAGGGGACGGTCTGTCCTGCGGAATAACTGCCGCGGGACAGGAGGAAACGGCCTCGGGCTGCGCCAGGGCAGGGGCAGGATGGATATCAGGGAAAAATCTACATGGAAAGAGAGGTGAAGCCTTGGAGAGGGCGGCCCAGGGATGTGGCAGTCACCATCCCAGGCAGTGTGCAGGAAAGGGGAAGCTGAGGGACCCAGGGACATTGAGGAAAGGCGAAGCTGAGGGACCCACAGATGTTGAAGAAACGTGTAGTTGAGGTACCCAGGCACGTGGTTTACAGGCAGGGTGGGGACAGGGCTGCAGTTAGACCTGATGCCCTTAAAGGTGATGCCCTCAAAAGGTCTTCCAACCATAATGACTCTGATTCCCCAGGGGGCAGGAACAAGGTTCGTAGGAAGGAAAACCCAACACGGCTGCAGGTAGCTAGAGTTAAGATTTATTGGTGGTTGGGCACCTTGAGGGATATGCAACGCTGCCTTCAGGCAGTACCAGCTGGTTATTAACTTGTTCTGGAGGCAAATTCAAGCAAATTAGTTATTTGAGCGAAATCAGACTCTCACTAAGGTCTAGGATGTACCCACAAGTGTTAGAACTTTAAAGCCATGCAAGCAAAACATAAGCTCTTCGTGCTTGTTAACATCCCTCCTTTCTCTGGTGCTGTATCCAGGACTATATGTGGGGTGAATATGGCAGGTATACATTCATTTCAAGTTATACACTCAAGTTATATTCACCACATGCGGAAAAAMTGAGGGTTGCTCTTGCTTGTTACATTCACCCTTCCCCTGAGAAGTGCATTAAAAACAAGTCATGTACCAAATGTGTCTTCTGTATTGCACACGCTGCCTTTTCAAGCTGCTATTACAGAATTCCATCTTTTCTGTGATGGGGAAAATCTCTGATCCAAGGCTAGTTAAAAAAAAAAAAAAAAAAAGAAGAGGAAAACCTAGTGGAAGGCAAACATGCTCTGTGCATTTCTCCCACTCAATATGACAACTATTGGCTACAGAAAATCATGAAAATGAAGTTGCCAATGGAAAGGAAAAAAAAAAAAGTCAACCTTTTCCACCTTTCTCCTAAAACAAGACAAAGGATTCTGTAAATGTTTTTGTATTTAATTTTTTAAGCATGAGGAAATTAGGACCTTTATTTTTTTTTTTTAAATATTCAATAATCACAGCTTCTTTCTTAAGGTCTTCAGCAACTTCTCAGTGAAGTTGCATAAAATAACATCATCAGTTACTACAAACTTTTTCTGCATATTTGAGTGCTTATGTATGCACTTTCTCAAAATATTCCTTAGACGCTTCTGGACTTGGTTTGATCTGTCAAGAGAAAAAAAAAAAAAGAATTGTGTTGTTATATTCTTAGACAAATCAATCATGGATTTAACATTTTATGCAATGGAAAAAACACATACTTTATTAAAAGCATTGGATTATTTCTGGTTCTCCACTCATTTGAAATAGTAAAATGAAAGTCTGGAAGACGCACAAGCTCCTACTTGCGACTTTTAAATATATGACACTATTTCCTGCTGAATAGCAGGGCCTTAAAGAAGTAAAATTCCAAGGACAACTAGTGGAAAATGCAAGTCAAATTGGAAGCTTTGAAAACAATCTTTATCTTCTGAGAAGAAAGTTGCTGATTTTCTTTTAGGAATCATACTTTTAATATAACACAAATAGACCTAATTGTTCCAACACGCATAACCTTCAGATTTAGACTACTTTATTCAGCCAAGCAGCTCACACTCAAGGTGTTCTCAGCTCTTTGGACGCAGGAAGGAAGCTATGGCAGTGCCTATATTTAGAAAAGTGGTATTTAGCTGACACTCACTGTAGGGGAGTCTGGAGTCCAGTTTGCTGGGCAAACCTCTCCGTGTGTTTCCACGTACTGGAATGCTTTCACCAGGCGGAGGGTCTCTTCCACACTGCGGCCCACAGGGAGGTCGTTGATGCTTAGATGCTTGATGATTCCATTAGGATCGATGATGAAGAGACCTCTGTAGACGAGCAAGAATTGAGAGTGCAAATCATGTTCCAAGAGCAAGCTTATCTGTCAGGAATAGCAATATAGCACTGTGTTTGTTAGTGCAGTGATCAAAAGCAAAACCAGTCTGTTTKTATTGTGATACTGAAAAGCAAGCATAAAGACCATGAAGCCAAGACAGCCAGAAAGGTAAACAAGGCAGAACTTCTAATTCCCTCTATATTTCAAAGTTAATAGCTGGCATCCTTCCTGTGTCTTTTTGGTTAATAAGGAAATCTGAAGTTACTGATTGAAGAGTTGCTTACACATTAAACTACTAAATTAATTCCTGTGACATATAAATGCTCGTGAAAACTGAAGGCCCATGTTAGACCCTACTAACATGCTGAATTTAACTTATTTTTCAACAAAGAAGCACCAGAAGTCCTTTCTAGCAAAGAAGCTGCTCAGTAATGAAGTGGAAGAACAGGACAGAGAAACCTAGAAATCACTCTTGTTCTTGTTCAGCTCTGAAGGCAAATTTGAAGCAATCCTYGGTGGACTTTTACCACTCTGTCCCTAGAGAACCAAATGAAACAATCTCTTTTTTTTTTCCCAGGATACAAGAAGTCCTTCTCTACCAGATATCTGTAACTAGAATTCTCTGAACACTTAAAAGAATACTCCCATACTTTAGGGCTGGTAGCTGGTATAGTCACCTTCTCATCTGCAGAGATCAGAAATTAGACATCTCCAATGGACTTCTACCCCCACCACCCATATTTATCAGGGATCACTATTTACTTTTAGTATTTCTATGGTGGGAAGTATAAATTTCATTATTCTAGAGAGCTGTAGGATTAACTCTAGTGGCCTCCAAGACTCTAGCTTAGAAACTTATGACAAGTTTAGATGGTCTCTCTACTTCCAGGAGAAAAAAAGTGACAGGAAGGGGGAAGAGAAGGAAAAGAGAGTTATTAGTTCTGAAAGGCCAAGAAATGYTCTTCTACCCTACTCTCCTTTCCCTTGGTGTGTCATGGAGTTCTCCCATTCGCTCAGATGAGAACAGCTGACTACCTGTGCAGATGTACCAGAGAAGGCTGCAACCGTCCCCAGCTGTGCACTGATGAGTATGTTCCCTTTTCCCAGAACGGGATCAAGAGTTCTACAGAACAGACACTTCATAGTCTTCAGGAGGAGAGAGCACAGCCTATGCTCTTTTAACCTGCCTCGTGTTAGCACAGAGAGCAGCAGTTGTGCATTACCGTAGCGCTATGCCAGGTCCTTCGAGCAGCACACCGTAGTCACGGGAGATTTGTTTTGTGAGATCTGACAGAACTGGAATATTCATATGGCCCAAGCCGCCGCTCTAGTGAAAACACAAGATACCATTTTATCACCAAATAAGATTATCCTTTAGATGGCTGGATTCAGTGCTCTTGAAGATATATTAACAAGAAAACAAAACCCACAACCAAAACAAACAAACAMACACATGTATTCCATTTGCACCATGAAGGAAGCCATACAGGAGAAGCACTCGGGAACGCTTGATCTGTTTKGAACATTCATTTTTTGTTTGTTTTTTTGCTGAGTGCTTTAGGATTGCTTACTTTGGTGGCAAAGGACTAAGAAAATGAATACTCAGAAGGATTAGGATTTCCTTCGTCCCTCGCAAGAGCTTTGAACATAAAGATTTCTATTGCATATGAAAGTGCTCAAAATGAAAGTGGGATGAACATGGTGAGGAGGGATGGGAGAACATTTATAACAGACAAAACACCACTCACCAGCACCCATACCAAATGCGTCAAGACTGTGGCTGTTCTTTAATATTTGTATTTTCTTTTGAATCTACTTAAATAATATTTAGTGAGCCAACCAAAATCTGAGTTTTGCAACATATTGGAACAGTTAGAGATAAGCTCCCTATCCTTGAAACACAAGCAGAGTTTGTTAGCTTTTCTATTCCTGGCCTCATCAGTGAATCGTTGTGTAACCTCAGTCACTGAGACCCTGAGCCTGCAAATGCCTGTCTGCAGCAGCCTCCTCAAGCACAGGGCTTTGGTATCTGAGAAACCAAGGCCTTAACTTCTCCAGGTTTCAGATTTCCATCTACAGCACTGTGGAATTCTTTCTATTCCTTGCAAAACCCTTTGCTSTGTGTACATGAAACAACAGGCAAGTGGTGTATACTTAACTGGTTTCATACAAGGCATGAAGTCAGTCCATAATCACATTTTAGAGATTTAAACAAAGCATGTGGAAAGCTAATTACTCTGATTGTCTCATGGATTTGATGTGTCTTGGGTGAGCCAAGCTCTCCTGTATGGTACAAAAAGAAGCTGCCATGTGCTTACAGTATCCTCATTGGATCATGACCAGCTCTGCTGTTGACCACATGGTCCCGGGGCAATAACTGATCACACAGGAGCTTCTGCACCTTCCTGAGACATTCCTGATTTCCTAAACAAGCTAGTGAGGTGATTTACATTATCCCGAGTACGGATTCATATATTTTAGGAAATGGAAACAACTGTTCTCCAGTAAGAGCTGGTCTTTGCTATCAGTTGTTTCCCTGTAGAAAGTAGAGGACGTAAAAGTAGAACCACTTCAGTAAATAGCAGTTAATAATACAAGTGTTCTGACAACACTTTTGTTTTCAGTCACCAATGCTGGTTATTAGAAACAATGATTACTAAACCAGCTGCTCATTATTTTATCTCATGCTAACACATAACGCATCGGCTGTAACAAGCACCTCAGACAGCAAGATGTCCACCGAATATTCATCCTGGGGGATAAACATCTTTATGTTTATGATATATGATATACAAGATATAACCTCTAGGACTATGAAAACAGGAAAACAAAGACAAGACAAAACAAAAACAACAAAATTATGGAAGAAAAGATCAGGAAAAAGATTGAGGTCAGCATTGATTAATTTTACCTCACATTAGTCACTCAGACTAGGTAGTGACTGTCTATTTATCAAAACTACTGTGTGACTGTGCATTCAAATCTTCTTYGGAGCTATTGTAAACAATAATAAAAAAGAACAAAAGAAAACACAAAGAGCTGCCCAGTTCCTACCTTTCGTGGTGTATTTATCCAGGCCAGATGGCAGAAGTGCGAGTCCACAGAGACCGCAACCACCTCACAGTTCACATCGTGGAATTCGTTGGCTTTGTCACTAAACGCTACAATCTCYGTGGGGCACACGAAGGTGCTGGGGGGACAGAGGAGCAGCCATGACGCCTCCGCAGGGCTGGGGGCGGCCGCCCACGTTCGCCCAGGCCCGGCCTATCGCCTCGCGCACCCGGCCCAGCCCCGGCGCTATCAGCCCGGGGCAGCCGCGCGCCTCCCCACGCGAGCCCGGCCGCGCGGCGCCGGGGCCGCACTCACAAATCCAGCGGGTAGAAGAAGAGCACGAGGTATCTGCCCTTGAAGTCGTCCAGGCTGAGCTCCTTGAACTGCCCCTGCACCACGGCCGTGCCCTTGAAGGCGGGCGCGCGCTGCGTGACGGCGGCCGCGGCCCGCCAGGCGCCTGCGGGGCACAGC